AAGCTACTAAAAAAAAGAAAATAGCTTGTTATTTGCGCCAAAAAATGTTCTTAATTTGGATCCAACCTAAACCTATGGCCTATAACTCGAGTCATGCATGGTGCCAACAGTTGCTGTTAATTATACGTCCTAACTCATGGACCAATCCACTTGAAGGACCAAACTCCTTTATGAGCCGCCTTATACTGATTTTAACCGGGGATCCGTCACAATAGTATATTTTCGGTAACAAGTAGGTAAAAGTATCAGCGCACTGGCGAAATCGAGAGCACACATTTCTTAATTGCTGGAAAACAATGCAGGCAGCACTGGGGTTTGAAGATCGTATAGGTGTTTCAAAAATCATGGCAATTATTTCGTTTGGAAGGTGGTCAAATGACATGTCTCTTTGCTCCTTCTTTGCTGATGATCATTGTCTTTCAGATTATCTTAAATCCCCTCTTTTACTCTCCGGTCTTCTCTGTTCTCCACCATTCGCGTGTTTTCTGTTTCACCATTATTTCCTTCCTCTTTCTCCGTTTCGATTTCGTCTTCATTCAATACTTCCTGGTTCTCTTACTTGTCATTTGAACAGTTTTCAGCATTTTCCTCGACCTCTAGGCACACATAATGCTCCCATTCCCCTTTTGCAAAGTGTCCTAGCTTGGTTGAAATTGATAACTCTAACCTCAGTAAATGGAGAAAAAATTGTGGTTACCTCCACTCCGAGGGAAAAAGTGAACAGTTATTTGAACACTGAAAATGTTCGACGCGGCCTGCAAAGTTTTGTCATCTCCATAAGTGCCATCTTTGTTCATTTCGGCCAAGTATTCAGCCCATCCTTGACCAGCAAATAGTTCCAATGGAAAACCCTATAAGTCATTTGGATGTTCTCGCAAGTATCTTACAATTTGTTTTCTTAGCGTTTCTGGTGTTCGTTTAATACCTATCCTCCTCAAGAAGAAACATAGTGATCAAAACTGACAATTACCATCTTTCAGAGGATCAAAGGCAATAGGAACGCTTTCTCTAAAGAACTCTAATCTATCCTCTCGAGTTAAAACAATACGAAATGTCTTTCGATGCAACTGATTCTTTCTTTTTTGTTCTTGTTGTTTCCGTTTTGCTTTCTCTTCCTTAGAACCAACACTTGTGATATCTTGCACAGAAATCCACCTCTGCACTCTTTTATGTAAAGTTGGATTGACAAATGATACTTTATACACTGAATTTTTGAGATTTCCTGCAACTACTAGGCCGCTTTCAAAATGTGCTTTCGATTTGAAGCAATCCTCCCTTTTCGTGAATCAAGCCCAAGCAAGAATCTATCTCCTGGTTTATACTCTTTTGGAGGACTACTGCGACGCATGTGGTTGTCCATCGTCCGCTTTTCCAGCTTTCGTTTGTTAGACTTGGCCCTTTTCCTCATTTTTTGGACGGCCTTATGGTGTTTGGAGTGGTCTTTCGTTTTTGGGGTTTTTAAAGATTCTGAAGGACAGCTGTCAATGTCTTAGTTTTCTAAAGATGCTTTGATCACAATTTTCGATTTTTGCCCATAGTAAGCTTCAATAGGGCTTAACCAGCCAAGTTCTTCTTTCTTTTCTTCGTTTAGGACTCTGCAGTACCTTGGCAGGTTTTTGACCCAGTTGATTCCTTTCCTCTTCATAGCCAGTAAGTCAAATCTCATCTTGTCACGCAATCGTGACATATTCTATGTACCACACCTTTTTAAGTCGTCAGAGTCAATTAATACCACTGTCGCCAGAAACAGCACAAATTGTATTAATTTCATCGTGACGAGCGACCGGTTATATCGGCTACTGTTTTAGCTATTATTTGGTAAGTCACCTTCAGAAAGGGTCCAAACGCGGTTGAAATTGCACGAAATGCATTTAAGGGGTTTACGTTTCATTCTTAAACGTAAGCCTTTTGTTGGAGCAGACATTTCACTTTCGCGGCCATGAAAGACGATATACTTAACTGGATAACAACAATTTTTTAGGGCCAGGCAACCTTCGTTCGAGAACGTTCAAGTTTTTGAGAATTTTCTACAGCTTTGAGGCTGAATTTGCGATTGGCTTCGACCTGAGATATGGAATTTGTGATTTAATGGTGAAATCTTAACTGAGTCGTGGAAAAAAGATTAAATTCAGGTGTCGTTAAATATTCCCAGCTGTTTGATATCTCAGAGTTGTCACTGTAAATACGTCACTGGCCTATAAAAGATCCATTACCTTTCATCAGTTGTGTGAATAACTAGAACGAAATGTCACTTGTTATCATTCAACTGTATTTTACACTCTTAAATGAAGACACAAGATAAGTTCCAATTCTAATTGTGATTGTTTTAGTATCCAGGCCCACTAATTCATCATTTGATTTACTGTTGTGTGTTACCCTCTTTCAATAAAGTTATTATTATTATTATTATTATTATTATTATTATTATGA